TTAGCTCCAAATATAATTCCGATTTTGTTTAGCTAAAAATAATATTTTTAGTAAAATTGATGATTATTAAGAATTAGAAAAAGCTTTTTTTTTTCTCATCGACGAGAATTTACTAAAAATATTAAGAATTAGAAATGTTTATGAATTAACGAGAATTTAGTGCAAAATGTTTATGATTATTAAGAATTAACGAGAATTTAGTGCAAAATGTTTATGATTATTAAGAATTAACGAGAATTTAGTGCAAAATGTTTATGATTATTAAGAATTAACGAGAATTTAGTGCAAAATGTTTATGATTATTAAGAATTAACGAGAATTTAGTGCAAAATGTTTATGATTATTAAGAATTAACGAGAATTTAGTGCAAAATGTTTATGATTATTAAGAATTAACGAGAATTTAGTGCAAAATGTTTATGATTATTAAGAATTAGAAAAAGCTTCTTTTTTTTTTTTTTCATCGACAAGAATTTATGGATGAAGCTCAAATTCTTTAAACAAATTGACACTAGAATTCCTTATTAAAAGCATGTTTGGCTACTTTTAAAACTTTCTATTAAGTAAAATTACTTTTAAGAAATTGTGAGATGAATTATTAATTAATAAATATGTCCATGTTTGGTCCTAATTTTCTAAAACTCATTTTCGAACCCACATTTCATTGGATCCAAAAATTTTATCAATTTTTTAACTACAAGTTTTATCAATTTTTATTAAAATTTAATAAAAATATTATTTTTAGCTAAACAAAATCGGAATTATATTTGGAGCTAAAGAGTTAAAAATAAAAATAAGTAACATGTTCATGTTTAGGCAAACACGGCATAATTGAAAAACGAAAAAGGTTGCAGCACTTTTGTTTTCAAGCTGTAGCCCTGGCCCTGACATTTGTTATTTTTTCTGGTCTTTTCCTTTCATTTCTTTATGCCACATTAGCAAATTTAAAATCCTGTTTTCTACCCTGTCTGTTGCCCTGGCTGAGTAGCATTATTGACCATAAAAACTACGATCACAAGTATCCTACAAAAAATTTTAGGTACAAAATTGAGGTTCCAAATTAGAACAAAGCTTGGAAGATGATCCTTTTGTAATAATCTTTTTGTCTTCTTAAATGACTTCTATTTATTAGAACTCAAATATTTCTCAATATCTTTCTAGCGCCTCATATTGCCATCAATTTCTTGGATTTTCTACAGAAGTTATAACAAAAATAGATAAATCTTGATCATGTAAAACTATAAAATGTTTCATCGACCATATCAACTAAATGATGTGACATGGAAACCAAGGAACGCAAAGGAAAAGTACACATTTCGTCAACATTATCAAAATTTTTTGGAACTATGGTTATAATTA